GCTGTGCGCCTGCCGCGTCATCGGCAGTGGCCGAGGCGCCGCGCGGCCCAGGCGGCACAGTCGCGTTGGCGGCGGCCGCGGCGCCGCACGTGAGCCCAGGCGCATCACCCTCCAGCGCCGCCGCCGCGCACGCCCCCGGCCCAGCCCCGGCCGGCGCGGGCAGCGCAGCGGCCTCCACGGCCCTGGCCTGGCGCTCCTCCTCCTCCTCCAACTCATCCGGCACATACGACCCCACGTCTACACCGCTGCTGCTGCTGTTACTGCTGTTGCCGCCGCTGCTGCCGCTGACGTTCCCGCCGCCCCCCGCCTCACGCCCGCCGCCCTGGGCGCTGTGGTCGTCATCGGGCCCCGCCAGCACGGGCATCACGTGGCCCTCAGTGCTGAGCAGGAACCAGTCTGCCAGGAGGTGGCCCCCCTCGACAAACGTGAGGTAGAGGTACTTGACCGTCTCTGACAGAAAGTACGACTCCATCAGGTCGGCGCGCCTGCCTGGGGGACGGGTGGGGGTTGGAAGGGGAGGGGGTGTGATGGGGCGATTGAGTTGTGAAGGGGGCAGGGTGGCGCAGGGTGGCGAGGGGCAGGGGAGGATGGTGTCGGGGGCCGGAAGGCGGTGATCGGGATGGCGGGGGCTGCGTGAGAGGGCCGGGCGGCGGGGTGGGACCGAAGCTGCCAAGGCGAGCGGGTGCAACCGTGTTCCTTTCACCCCCCCCCTTCCACGCCCAGCCACACACCTGCTGGTTGCTGCCACCCAACTACCGCCCAGCCACCGCCCAGCTACCGCCCAGCTATCGCCCAGCTACCACCCAGCTACCACCAAGGTACTGCCCAGCTACCGCGCAGCTACCACCAGCAGCCACGGCCCCCACTTCCCCCGCGACCCTCACCCGTCACCACGTCCAGGATGCGCGTGAACCCGCACTCTGCCCGGCAGCTCCGCAGCGCCCCCACCACCGCCGCCGCCACCCCTGTATACGCCGGGTCCCCCGTGGCCGCCGCCAGCATGTAGGTGCTCTCGATGTGCTCAGGTCGGAGGTTGTAACCCCCGTCGCCGGGGTTGGCGACGGCGAGGTCGAAGGCGAAGAGCTCTGGCAGCAGGCCGAAGGCGGCCCAGGCGGCGGTGAAGTTGGAGTGCAGCGCGCGGGCGTCAGCCTCCTGGCCTGAGAGGAGGGGTGGATGGGTGGAGTGCGCCTGGGGTTGAGTGGGGGTTCCAGGGGAGGTCCCGGGTCGAGAGGGCGCAGGGAGGGCG